CCAACTCAAGGTAAACAATGCATTTAATTTCAAGTCGAAATAATCGTTAGCTTGCTTCCTATGCTAAGAGTCGTATCAGGTGGCCAAATGCCCACATAGAAATGTTTAGAAAATCTTTTCTCAAGAGTCCTCTAAAGTGCCCGAAACTATCAAAACAATTGAGAAAGAGTTAGCAAGGATGGGTTTAATATAGTTTCATAGTGCCTTTTGTACCCAACTAAACATAATAAAAAAAAAACTTGAAAAAAGTTTGATGTATGTGGATTTAATACTCAATGGTAAAACCACAAAAGCCATGGTATATACAGGTGTAATCGATACCTTCATCATATCAGAGGAAGTAAAAATGTGTGATCTCAAAATTAATAAGAACTGTAGGTAAATGAAAGCAATTAACTCATCAACCTTTATTACCAGTGAAAGATCCAAAAATATAATAACCAAGTTAGAGCCATGGGAAAGAAATGTAGATTTCACGATTTTTCCCATGGATAACTTTGTTATTGTCCTAGGATTGGACTTCATGATGTTGGCTCAAGCAATCCCATTCTCCATTACTAATTGTTTATTGTTCTTGAGGGAAATACCCATGTGTTGTGCCGGCACGATCCTCTTCAAAAATGAAAAGAAAGTTATTTTAACATTATAATTCAAAAAAAAGATAAAGAAAAGAGAGCCCTTCTTTATAGCCATACCAATTTACAAAGATGGAATTGAGCTTAAACCGATACCCAATGAGCTACAAAAAGTATTGAAAAAAGTTTGAGAATGTGATGCTAGAGCAATTGTTCAAGGTCTTACCTTTTCAAAGATCGATGGATTATGAGATTGAGCTTTTTTTGAGAGTTAAGCTGTTAGTTAAAAGCTAATATCGCATGGTTCCTATGGAACTAGCTGAATTGAAAAAATAATTAGATGAGCTCTCATAAACCAGATTTATTAGATCATCAAAAGCACCATTTAGGGTACCCATGCTATTTCAAATAAAGCATGATAGGAGTTTATGATTATGTGTGGATTACATAGCATTGAACAAAGTCATTGTGAGAAACAAATATCATATTTCTCTTATTATGGATTTGTTTGATCAACTAAGCCAGGCCAAGTATTTCTCTTAATTGGACTTGAGATCTAGCTATCACCAGGTCAGAATCACTGAAGAAAATGAGCTAAAACCACTTGTGTAATGCGATATAGGGCATTTTAATTTCTTGTTATGCCTTTTGGATTTACTAATGCCCCTACCACATTTTGTACCTTGATGAATTAGGTGTTACATAACTATCTTGATAAGTTTATAATCATTTATTTAGATGACATAATGATCTATAGTTTTACTTTGGAAGAGCACCAAGAGCACTTGCATTTTATGTTTTAAAGACTATAAGGCCATTAGCTGTATGTTAAAAGAGAGAAATATGCATTTACTTAAACACAGATTCATTTCTTATGCCACATTATTAACAAGGCTATATTCGAATGGACATGAAAAAATTTAGGGCTATTAATGAGTTAGCAATATTGAAGAATGTCAGTAAACTCTACTTATTTTTTTTAACTAACTATTATAAGAGATTTATGAAATGGTACTCTCGTAAAATCATGACTTTTATAAAGCTCTTGAAAAAGACATAAATGGTGTTGAAGAAGTAAATGTCAAGAAGTTTTTGAGAGCTTGAAAGAAGCCATAATGAAAGACTCTATCTTAGCTTTCTTTGACTTTGAGAAACCTTTTGAAGTTCAAACAGATGTATCTGATTTCGCTATTGAGGGAATGCTTGTACAAGAATGGCACTGATAGCATTTGAAAGTTAAAAGTTGAGCAAAGCTGAAAAGGGATATATGGTTTAAAAGAAACAACTCCTGGTAGTAATCCATTGTTTGAGTGCATAACAACATTATTTATTGGGTTCACAACTTGTAGTTAAGACGGACAATGTGATGGTAGTCATTTTCTCATCTAGCCAAGGCTCACGGCTAAGCAAGCTAGATGGTAAGAGTTTTTAGGTGAATTTAAATTTTGTTTGAGCACACAGCTGAAAAAACCAATCAAGTAACAGATGCATTGAGTAGACAGGCAAAGTTGGCTGCCCTTAGGAGAATCATCCCAATGAGCTAGTAAAATCACAACAGATATCCATAAGCTAATTGAAGATAATCTGAAGAAAGACTTACAAGCCAATACCATCTTGAAGCTAGTAGAAGAAAAGAAGTCCAAGTACTTTTGACAAAAAAATGAGATCTTATTGATAAAGGTCATCGATTGTTTGTGCCAAAAGTAAGAGGTTTGAGATAGATGCTAATGAAAGAATGCCATGACACATCATGAGTGGGTCACCTTGGTTGGCAATGTACTTTGACTTTACTAAAACAAGGCTGTTATTGGCCTCATATGCAATAATATGTGATGTACTATACGAAGACTTGTCTTGTTTGCCAATAAGACAAAGTTGAAAAAAAGAAACTGATAGGCATACTTGAACTATTACTTATGCTTATAAGACCTTGAAAAAGTATCTCTTTTGACCTATATCAGGCCTTCCTAAGGTTGGTGATCTTAGGTCTATTTTGATGGTGATTGACTATTTTTCAAAATATGCTACGTTTATTCTCGATCAAAAGTATTGCACAGCAGAGGATACGACCCGGCTAATATTTAAACATGTAATCAAGTATTGGGGCCTTCTTCAAACCTTTGTCGGTGATAGAGATTCGAGATTCACGGCTAATATTTAAACATGTAATCAAGTATTAGGGCCTTCCTTAAACTTTTGTTAGTGACAGAGATTCGAGATTTATTAGGTCATTCTGAGAAAACTTTTTAAGATATTGGAATCTAAGCTCAACATCTCTTCAAGTTATCACTCGTAAATCAATAATCAAACCGAATGATTTAATAGTTGTTAGAGGAGTATTTAAGACACTTTGTTTAAGCTAATAAGAAGAATTGGCCTTCATTATTAGATGTAGCTCAACTTCGTTTTAATTTCAACAAGTGTTTTTCCACAAATAAGAGTCCATTTGAAATGGCCACTAGATAACTACCAAGACCACATACATCCTTTCAGCCATATCAAGGGAAGAATCCATAAGTCTTCAACTTTAGTAAGGAATGGAGATAAAATACAGTAATTACACAAGCATACTTAGAAAAGACATCGAAGCGCATGAAGAAGTGGACAGATAAGGGTCGAAGGGCACATCAATTCAAAGTTAGTGATCTTGTTCTTGTCAAACTAGTGCCTGAATAAACTAGATTATTAAAGAAGCAAGATTGTAGGTTGGTACGTTAGTATAAGGGTCTAGTAAAGATCCTTTTAAAGTGGGAAATGTCTCTTGCAAAATCAATCGGTCAAAATGAATAAAGTTGTATCCAGTGTTTCATGTGAGCAACTTAAAACCCTATCATGCAAACCCCGCAGATGCAAGTCATAGTGAATCAACTAGGCCTGTCATTACCATGAAGCCATCATCAAAATGTTGAGATAAAAAGATTTTTAGCTAACAAGGAATCTGGAGTATCTTGAAAAATAGTCCATGAATATTTAGTGAAGTGAAAGGGCTTAAGACCAGAAGAAACCAGTTGGGAGAAAGACCATGACTTCCGAGCATTCAAGCAAAAGATTGAAAAATTTCAGGCTAACAAGTCGATGCGAGCATCAATAGAATAGGTAAGGGAAGATGTTATAAGCCAACCTTGTATAGAGTTATGACTCGGCATAGGATGCCATAAACCACTCATGTATAAGGCCATGACCAGGTAAAGTTGTTAAGAGAGATGATAGATCTCATGTGTTAAGAATAAATATCCTCATTTCAAATATTATAATAATTCTTGATAGCATAGTTATAAATCTTTTAAGCACTTTAAAGATGATGAATAGTCGACGTGTTGTTGGGTTACCTTAATAGCTAAGATACGTGTAGACCATTCATTTAGAGCTGCCACTCTAGCTCTAATAATGGTGAAACGACTTGATGCTTTGTACTTATTATATTATTCTCGACATTAATAAAATATTTTTTTATGAGAATGTCAAAGAGTTGTCTTAGTGTGCTCTATTATATTTTGATATATTATTATGTATTTTTAAAATTAAATTATAACTTGTTAATTATTTATTCAGATATTAATTATCTTTAATTGACTTAAGTAAAGTCGTCTATTCAAATATCATATGATTTATTATTTTGTTGAGAAAAAACTTAGCGCATAATGTTGAATCAGTCTTGTCTAACGCAGACTTTAAACAATTTGTAATGCTTATCTGGTTGCTGTAGGAGGATAGGAACTTGCACGTCAAGAAGGGCAAACGCATTAAGAGATGGCCATAATTCAAAAAGGACAAAGGCTGCTAGAAGAATTCCAAAGTAAAATTGTGACGCAACAACGAAAAGAAGCGTGGAAAAGACAAAACGGAAGGCCCCACCGGCACCTCGCTACAAAGTTGATGGCGCCTTAAATCCACAAGTAGGAAAGGTGGAGTCGGCATTATAATAGGGGACCAACCAGGGTATAGTTGTGGGAGATGCCACTGTCAGAGTAAACTGGGTAACGGAAGCCAGTGTCATTGAGGCTTCTGCAGCTGCTAAAGCTTTGGCGATTGCGGCACAGATGGGTCTCAGGAGAATTACCTTAGAAGGGGACTCCAGAATTGTTGTTAAAGGCCTACAACAGGAAGCTGAAGATATGTCCAGCATCGCCACACTATTATATGACAGCAAGTTAAATATGGGGAAATTTGACATCTGCCACATACAACACACAAGAAGGGATGGAAATATTGCAGCTCACACGTTAGCACAACATGCCTTACTGATAGAGTCTGATTTGTACTGGATAGATGAAGTCCCAAGTTTTATAAACTCAGTTGCAATGATGGACATCACAAATTTGAAGGAATGAAAAGAGACTTTTAATTTCAAAAAACAATAAATCTTAGCAATAATATTTATCCACAACATTACTTGAAATATAGAGCCACCAAGAGCCAGAGATGTATTATGAACACAAAATGTACTTTATAATAAACAGCGCACAAATGTGAAATTACATTTTCATTATCGCAATGCAATTCAACAATTTTTTTTTTTTCCAAATCCCTTTAGGTCCTGACAACTAGAAAGTAAGTAGCTATATCTTCAAGAAGAGATCATCAAAATCATCACTCTTTATCTTTTCATGCCACTTTCCACCACTGGAGCCATTGGCAATCCACGATTTTGCTGCATCTGCATGTTTCCTTGCCATCCTATATTCCAAAAAAAAAAAAAAAAAGATTAAATTGCGGTTTAAAAGTAAAATCATGCAATTAAGAAACATACATATAAAAATTATTAAATTTTAGTTTATATGCATATATTTTTAGTTTAAAAGAAGAGATATTCGAATTTTGCTCAAAAGAGCAACTTAAGAATATAAAGATATATGAATTATTGAATCAGAAATTATAATTTCATAATTAATTACCAAGAGACATGTCGAATCCACGGTTTTTGAGCTCGCGGTATTCTTGACACAAGGCGCACGCCTCGCAGCAAAAATGGACACAGCAATCCCCGCAGGGGCTCTCCTCCAACATGTATTGAGTCCTCATTCTAGAGCGATAGGAGCAGGAGTAAATGCAAGCACACCCGGTAAAGCTACCAATTAAAGCATAAAGAGCTCCACTTGCACCGCAAGCTGCACCTCACCGGCACCGGAATTATATTAAACCATAAAAAATATTGGACAAAAACAAAGAATCTACACTATTATATTTATTCTCGCCATTTACTCCCGCGCCCGTTATCAACAATTGATTTGTATGAAAGTCATAGTAGCAAGTAACAAGTAACACTCTGTTGTGACAGACACAACTGATAGACAACAAAATGGAAAACTTACAGGTTGATCCTTGGTCGAGGATCTCAGCAATCTGGCCAAAGGTGATGCAAGGACAGCAACATGTGATGCAACCTAATCACATTTCAACAGTGCGAATGAGGAAATATTAGTCCAACTTAAAATCTTCAAATATGGCCATTTTGGGTATACAAACAGAAAAAGAAAAAAGATCAGAGCTTTAGTTGGAAGGAAAAGCTTACAGTTTGGAACATCAGAGCCGCAGTCACAGAGTCCAGTCGACCAAGGGACCTTCCCTGCTGGCTGCGTGTAATTTTGAGCAAAAGGTTGCTGGTTTGTTGAGGTAATCGGGACACCAGCTGCTGGAGCCTGTTGCCCAAACTGAGGCGGTGATGGGTACATGGCTATGTCTAATGTGATATTAAGAGTTACCTATTGATTAAAAAAGGGCCTTGAATGCTTAAAACTTAAGGGAAGAGAGAGATGATGGATTTATATATAATTGTATATTGAAACCACAACAAATTAATGGTTCAAAATTTTGCGAGTTTTATCTACTATGATGACCAAGACGAAGTCCTCGCTTGTCATCGGCTACATTCATCCCATGTATTACGTGGAAGACCAGGGAACCATAAAACGCGTCCGTATAAAATAATTGAAAACCTGGAAATTTTGGAAAACTTTGTCAACGTCATCATCATCTGTAATTTGAATATGATTATATATTTAATTAAGTTATAATTAATGTCTTGATTAATCTACAGCCATCACAACCCAATTGTTAACATGAAAACGTCAAAATCGATCTGTACCATATGCTATATATCCCCAGATATAGTTTCCAAACTAAATCACTTGTTTAATACCATTTCCGCACCAGTTAGCGTGTTGAACAGTCTGCTTTGTTTACCAAACCAAGAAAATTATTCTCCCGTTAAAAAGGAAAAAAAAAACGGATGCTACCTAGTGAAGGTCACCACGTTCTTTTGCAGAGGTTACATGTGCAGGTGAGCTCAGGCACATGATAATTCCCCCAGTTTAGCATATATGATATATGTATCTGTGATTTAAAAAATAGGAATGGCATAAACAAATGAAAATAAACATTAGAAACAAAAAGTAGAAACTGGAAACCATGTGGGGGGTAGTGAAGAGAAAGAGGGGTTAATATTTAATAATTTATGTTGTTAATATTGGTGGCCATTCCCTTATCGGGTAGTGCTACACTTTTAAAAATCCAGTTCCTCAAATTTTTTTTTAATTTAAGATTATATCCAAATCATTCATCTACTTCTTTTTAAAATTTGAGATTTAATTTTCAATACTTACAAAAAAAATTTTTTATTTCTTTTTGATCTTGGTCTCTTATGTATAAAAAAAATTCCTCAAACTTTTTGTTTTAATTTTATAATATTAATGAATTTTTAATAAAATTTAAAACCTTACTCAGTGGTCTAATTAGTTGAAGGTTTATTCATTTGAGCTATGTCGTCTTGGTACTTATTAATTAAAAAATATTTTGCTTTTAAAAAATGGATTTTTTTTTTGTTTTGACCAAGTAAGAGAAATAATTTCTACTGTTTAAGCTACTAATCTCTTAATTAGAATATATATCAAAATCTACCTACTTTAATTAAGGCGACGACCAAGAGGAAGAAAAAAAGCAATATTATGGTTGCCCACTATCCACCAGTCGCTAAATTAAAAATGAGATTTACTTTTGAATAATTAACATTAGGTAGGCTCTATATATTACGTGAAAGGTTGAATTTTAGGTTCTATGTGGTTGTAGATCATGAAGGATTTTTTTAATGAGATTACATATATGTAATTAATAATTACAATCATACCATATAAAACTAATTAATATATAGTTTACAAATCAACAAATTAATATATATTTAGAGAAAATTGGACAGATAAAACCTATGCATTTAATAAGACTTTAGGATCGCTTTGTTTTTATTGAGACAATGTTTCATTATCGTTCACATATATATAGATTTCATGATTTAATTTTATAATGTATATATCATAAATAAATATACATTATGAACTGTTTAAATTCTTCAACCAGTCCTTGTAGTTTAGACAAATCGATTTAAATTCTTGTTGAAGGACTAAATTGATATTTCTCTTGAGCATAATCGAAGAATTTGATAGGTTTATGGTCATTTTATTCAATTAAAAAGTCAATTAAGAATTAAATTAATTAGTTTTTTTTTTTCAGAAAAAGCAAAAGTTACTTTATTCAATTAAAAAAGACAAATTATTAACTTTCCTAAAAACATGAAAAAAAAATTTATATAAGGTTCAGAATTAATAACTGAGTTTTACAAATGGGAATAATAATAAAATTGTACCAAGAAAAAAATGAAAAAAAAATTTATAACTTTATATGCAGCGAAGATAATACATAATAATTGTAACAAGTGGCAAACCTTTATTGTTTATTAATTTCTCTTGCAACTTCTAGTTATCTGGCGGCTTGACTTGCTGTTTCCATCCAATACTTATCCTTTCTTCCATCTAATTTTTTATTAAAAAATAAATAGTTAGTATTTTTTTATGATAGTTATAAGCAGCAAACTTTGTCTGTTTGACTTCCTTCCATCTATATAAATAAGCTCGTATAAACATATTTTATTCGGATCTATATTTTTTAATAATAATAATTTTTTTTAAAAAAATAATATTATTAATTTAATTATAATTAAAAAAATAATTAATTAAAAAATAAAGAAAAGAAAAAAAAAAGAAAAAAGACAAACAAAAAATCTAAACAGAAGAAAAAACAAACTGGAAAGGGCTAGTGCCAGCAGGTGCACAGCAGGTGCCGTGCACGGCACCACTGGCCACCCACGCCCTACCACTACCCCAGCCATCATACCACCCCTTCGTCCAGTCCTTTCATTCCATTAGCACACGCTACCACCGTTTCTAACCTTATAAAACATTTGATCTCCCTCCTTTCAGATCTAGCTAAAACTCTCGAATACCCCCTCACCAGATTACCAAAAAAAATGCACCCCTACCAACAACCTTTTAGACGAAAAAAACCTAAACAACCCCCAAAATACCCAAACAGAAAAACAAATAGATCTACGAAAATCAACACAAAAAAATCATAAAACAGAAACCATAGTCCTCTCCGAATCGATGAGAAATGCAGCGCCAAGAAGATACCTGCAACAAAAAGAAAGGTTATTAGTTTGAGTTTTAAAAAAAAAAAACAAAAAATTTTGAACCCCGATTTACGTCATCAGGGTCGTTTCCGACGAATAGGAGATCGAATTTGAAAAGATCGCGTCGAAAGGACCTTTCAGGAGGATTTCAGAATTTTTGATCACCAACGACCACCATCGACGGTGGCCCAGGCGACGGCCGGTGCAACAGTTCGACGATCGAATTTCGACGGGGGCCAGAGAGAACCCAGAGCTCTGAAAAAAAAATTTTTTTTGTGTGAAAATGGTGAAATGAGTTGAAAAAAATTGACTTTTATAGAAAGCATTAAAAGCAAAACAACGTCGTTTTGAGCATAGGGCCAAAACGAGGCCTTTTCAAGCTTAAGAGGATCCGCGCGTGGATCGAACCCGACCCGAGATTTGCGTAAACTGACCCGTCGACCCGCTTTAGCCAACTTTCAGTCGGTTCAAACGAACCGCCAGTGAACCGATCGAACCGATCCGAACCGTTCCTCAATCGGCTCAACCGAACCGCGCGTCAAACTGAACCTTTTTTGATCCAATCGAACCACCGTTGACCGGTTCAATTCAGGTAAAAAAAAAAATTTTTGAATTTTTGAATTTTTTTATATCTTATTATTTTTGTTATTTTAAGTATATTTTTTATATTTATACATGATAAGTTTTAAATTTGTTATGATAAATTTTTTAATTGTTTTAATAATAATAAAAATAAAAATAATAGATAATAATTAAAAATATATATATATTAAAAATGGTTAAGATAATAATAATAATAATAGAATAATTATTATTATTTTTCCTGCCTAGATGTTAGAACGAATAAAAAAAATATTTTTCTAAAGAAATAATTTCGCATAGATGTTGGAGAATTATTATTAATAAATTTTCATAAAAAGAAAATATAAGAATTTTTTAATTAGTTTTTAAAAATTATAAAAAATTGAAAGTCCGCCTAGATGATGAAGATTTTTAGATATGTTCGCGTTTTAATTAAACCCCAAACCCTAGACTTAAACCCTAAACATTTACCCTAAATCTATTTCAAAACTTTAAAGATACGTATGAAAATATCACATGAAATGGTTTATTCCGGAATGCTGCCTAAATGATGGGGTATTTAGGAAACTCCATTTCATTAAGTTATTCACATGAGTTCTTAACTCACATTAATAATAAGATTAATAAGTAAAAAGATTAATGGTAAATTGATATCTTAAATATAAACAGTCGCACTTAAGCTCTGCCTAGATGTTGAAAAGTCGGGGTGGTCTCATTACACTTAAAAATCCAACTTTTAAATTGCATTTCATTTTATATGACATTCATTAGCATACATACATTAGCGTATTATCATGGATAATTGTCTACATTTTCTCTCTTTAATTTTTATTTACTATTTGATGATAAAATATTTTATAATAAAAAAAGAATAATACATTTAAAATTTTTTTTATGATATTATAAAATAAAATAAAAATAACATTCTGAAGGAAATAATTCTTAGTACTCTACCTAGATGTTGGAGAGTCACTAACAATTATCTTCTATAAAGATTGTTATTTCATTTTAAGGATTATCGTGTTAAATCTTGAGCGAAAAGAATTATTTTAAATTCTGTCTAGATGTTGAAGAATTTTAAGATAATTCTTTAACTTAAAGATTTTTTCAATATTTCTAAATAAAAATTCTAACAAAAATATTTTTCCAAATGAAAGGAATTAGTGTTAAATTTTAAATTGAAACTATTTTTATCCAACACCGAAAATAGCACATAATTAAATGGTACCAATTTATAGGCATTGTGGGGGTGCTAATCATTTCCCACACGTAACCGATTCTCGGACCCAACTTGATTTTTTTTTTTACAGATCAAAATTTATCTTTTTGATAAACTTTAAAACTCGCTTTTATAATTTTATTAAAATGATAAAATTTTGGGTGTCCAATCACACCTTAACAAAGATTGGTGGCGACTCCCCTCATTCATTTCGATTTTAAAATTCTTTTTAGTCTGGCGATCTCAGAACCATTACGACAGCTTGGCGACTCCACTGGGAACTTGTTTGAAAGTCAGGCTAAAATTTTAATTATGCGCTATAGACAATGGTTGGATTTAATTAATTTTATTTGATATTTAATTTAATTCCTTTTATTTTATTTTTTGAAAACATTCATGTTAATAAATAAAATAAATTATGTGTTAGTTATTACTTTATTTTGATTTTGTTTTTGGTTATGATTTATTCAAGTTATTTTGATTAATACATTACTTTGCACACACTTTGCATATTTACTCGCATACATGAGCACTAGACTTGGGCTCTTTCCCTTTTAAGAGGAAGTGAAGTAGCTACGCTCTCGTGAGGTGATAACCTTCACATTTGCTATCGAAACACTTCCACTTAGATTGAACCATTTTTGTTAGTAGCCTATAATAGGTGAGGATTGGAGAACCTTACTAGTCTATAATGGACAATAATGTGAGGAATAGTCTGGAAACCGTTAGACGCATAAACCTTAACCTAGCATATCGTGAACCATATGAAGCTAGCCTAGGGTAGAGCCTTGCCAATCTTTTTATATAAATAACCAAAAATGGGTGATAAAAGAAAAGCATTTTCTTGAAAAAAAAATGAAATTTCTCTTTACATGTAGTTCATTCATTTGGTAATTGTTCAAATTTTACAATTTAATAAAATATTTTAGAATAAAGTGATTTTTTTAAGCATTATCCAACAAGCCAAAACAAAAAAACAAAAAAAAAAGGGTTTTCAAAAAAATTAAAGATTTTTCTTAAA